GTCTACTGGGGTGAGGCCATGATGACCGCAGCGCACCTGATCAATCATTTGCTGACCAAGGCGCTCAATGGCAAGACGCCGTATGAGGCCTAGCATGGGCACAAACTGGCTGTCAACTACCTGCGAGTCTTCGGTTGCCTAACTTTCATCAAGGAGCTGAACAACATCGGCAAGCTTGATGATCAGAGTTCATCGGGAGTCTTCATCGGCTACGCTGAGGGGGCTAAGGCCTATCACGTGCTCGACTCGGTGATGTGGCGTGTAGGAGTAGCACGCGACGTCGTGTTCGATGAAGGCCGCAGCTGGGCTTAGGACAAGGCGGTGGATGATGGATCAGCAACAGTGCTCCGTGACTTCACTATCGAGTACTCATGGACTAGAGGAGCTGGGGAGCACAAGGTGCATCTCCATTGATGTCTGGATCATCATCACCAGCGTCATCCATTTCATCAGCCCTGCTGTGATCGCCTTCACCAAATCCGAGGAGCCCAGAAGCTCATCGGTGGTGGCAGGCACTCCATCGACACCCCATCCTGCTACACCACCTTCGACCTGAACTACGGTGTCCTCTACTTCACCTACCGTGACACCAGTGCGTGGTGGACAACCTGAAGTCGAGTATGTGATGCCCCTGGACGATGATGAAAATCGTCTGGACACCAACTACGACAACAAGCCACTCTGGTACCGCATGGTGACCAATATCATCAGCAACGGGACCCACCAGGCCAAGCGTCATGCCACTTCGCTCAGCTACACCTGACACATGCCGGTGAGCCAACATCCTATGCTGAGGGACAAGGTGACTCGGCATGGCACGTGGCGATGGAGCAAGAGCTGAAGTCCATCGAGCAGAACCATACCTGGGAGTTGGTGTCTCTATCCGATGGCCACCGCCCAATCACCCTCAAATGGGTGTTCAGGCTCAAGAAGGACAAGCCGGGCATGGTGATCAAGCACAAGGCGCGGCTGGTGGCGCGCGGCTTCATCCAGCAAGAGGGGATCGACTATGACGACGCCTTCGCACCCATGACGCACATGGAGTCGGTCCGTGTCCTCACACTGGTAGCTCAGGAGGGGTGGTAGGTCCACTACATGGACGTCAAGTCTGTCTTTCTCAATGGCGATCTCAAGGAAGAGGTCTACGTGCACCAGCCACCGTGCTACGCTGTTGTCGGAGAAGAAGGGAAGGTGTACCGCCTGCGCAAGGCACTCTACGGCCTACGCTAGGCCCCACGCGCCTAGAATGCGAAGCTTGACGCCACGCTCAAGATGGGCTTCAAGCAGAGCGCGCACGAGGCGGCGGTGTACTGACGAGGCAGCGGGCGCAATGTCCTGCTCGTCGGTGTCTACATCGATGACCTCATCATCCCCGGCACTGAAGAAGGAAGGGTGGCGGCGTTCAAGGCGCAAATAAAGAAGGCGTTCGACATTAGCAACCTCGGCCTACCCTGCTTCTACCTCAGCATCGAAGTGCGCCAGGACGCCAGCGTCATCGCTCTTTGCCAAACCCACTATGCCAAGTGCATCCTCGAGCTCGGTGGCATGACGGGCTACAATCCGGCTGACACCCCGATGGAGGAGTGGCTCAAGCTCAGTTGGGACAGCACGGCGGAGGAGGTCGATCCAACTCACTACCAGCAGCTGATCGGGTGCTTGTGCTACCAGGTCCATACCCGACCAGACCTTGCGTTCGCCGTCGGGTATGTGAGCTGGTTCATGGAGCGCCCAACGATGGAGCACCTATAGGTCATCAAGCGTATCCAATGCTACATGGCGGCCACCCTCGACTACGGTCTTCATTATGGTAGGCCCCTGACACGGCGCGCTTCGTCAGCTACTACGACAGTGACCTCGCTAGCAACGTGGACACCAGCAAGAGCACGATCGGGACCATGTTCTTCTTCGGTGATTGCTTGGTCAGCTGGCAGTCCCTCAAGCAGAAGGTGATGGCCTCTCAAGCTGTGAAGTAGAGTAGATTGCCACCACTACTGTAGCAACTCAGGCACTATGGTTGCCAAGGATGCTGGCAGAGCTCCTTGGTAGGAAGGTGGATGTGGTTGAGCTAAAGGTGGACAGCAAGTCTGCTCTAGCTCTAGCCAAGAATCCTGTCTTCCATGAAAGGAGCAAACACATTCGCATCAAGTATAACTTCATCAGGGATTGCTTGGAGGATAGGAGCATCAAGGCCAGCCACATCGCCTCTACTGATCAGCTAGCTGATATTCTCACTAAGTCGCTGGGGAAGTCCAAGTTTTAGGATATGAGAAAGAGGATTGGGCTACAATAGATCACCTCTAAGGCTTAGCACAGGGCTGAGGGGGAGAATTGCGAGATAAGCCTAGTGCTTTCGCTATGTATCTTACTTTGCATTGTCTTGTTATTTTCGGCTGTTAAAGCCTGTATTTAGAATATGCTTAGCATCCACTTTAGTTGTTAGGAAATATGCTGGAGCCCTTAGAAAAGTAGAGAGCCCTCTGCTATAAAAGCAAGGGCAGGGTTATTGTAAGAACTAAGCTATTGCACTTTCAATTCAATTCAAGTGGCCAAGGGTCAAGCTGCCCTCTGGCCTTACCCTAAATTTGAGATCCACTTTGTGTTATCTGGCCAACATGTCGGACCAAGAGGAGTCCTTGTGCAGTTAGCAGGGCTGCGATGGTGCCGAAGTCTCTGATGAACTTCCTATAGTAGCCGGCGAGGTGGAGGAAGCCACGCAGGACCCGAGCCGAGTGCGGTGCCGACTAGGAGGTGACAGCGGCCACCTTGTGGCTGTCCATGGTGATGCCGTTCTAGGTGATGACGTGGCCGAGGTCGGTGACCGAAGATGCCCCGAAAAAGCACTTCGAGCTCTTGAGGCGGAGGTGGTGCGCCCACAGCGTGTCGAGGACGATGCGGACGTGCTGCAGATGCTCGGCCCACGACCAACTATAGATCAAGATGTTGTCGAAGAACACAAGGACGAACCTGCATAAGAAGGGGCAGAGCACGTCGTTCATCAAGGCTTGGATGGTTGCCAGCGCGTCGGAGAGGCCCAACGACATGACCAGGAACTTGAAGTGGCCGTGGTGCGTGCGGAAGGCTGTCTAGGTGATGTCGCCTGGGTGCATGCGCACCAAGTGGTAGCTTGAGCGGAGGTTGAGCTTGGTGAAGAAGCGCGTGCCCTGGAGCTCGTTGAGGAGCTCATCAACCATCGGGATCGGGAAGTTGTCCTTCGAGGTCTTGGAGTTGAGGGTGTGGTAGTCGATGCCGAAACGCTAGGAAGCACCCGCCTTCCGCACTACGAGGACTGGGGTGGAAAACAGAGACGTGCTAGGTCAAATGATGACTTGGGCGAGCATGGTGGCGCACTGTCGCTCGAGCTCGTCCTTCTAGAGCTGTGGTAACGGTAAGGGCGGACGGGCACCGGTGCGGTGCCCGGCAACAGGTGAATGCGGTGGTTGTAGGGCCGCGCTAGTGGAAGGCCGCGGGGCACCTTGAACACGGACCCATACTAGAGCAGCATGTGGTCCAGCAGGGGCTGAGCGGGCGCGGCAGTGACCATGCGGTCTGCCGGCTCCCAAATGTCATCGTGGGGGGAGCCGAGGCCCTTCCAGAGGATGCGCCGAGAGCCCCAGGTGAAAGCCATGCACAGATCCTCAAAGTCCCAGAGAATGGGGCCCTGCGTGCGGAGGAAGTCGACACCGAGGATGACGTTGAAGCCGCCCAAGTTGATGCCGAAGCAGCTGATGGAGAATTCCTCGGTGCCGATGGCCACGGCAACGTTGCGGGTGACCCCTTCGCATGGAACGCGGTCCCCATTTGCCATCGCGATCCGCATAGTGGGGTGGGCTGAAGTGGACAGTTGGAGCTGGTGCATAACCCCGTTGTTGAGGAGTGGTTTGTTGAGCCGGAGTCGAGGAGCGCGAGGAGGTGGTGGCCGTGGATGTAGATGTGGAGGTGCATCACCGTATCCTCCGTGCGAATGCCCGCAATGGTGTGGAGAGACACGCCTGGCTGGACGGCGGTGTCCTCAGCCGTAGAGGGGTCGGCAGCCTCTTTGGGAAACGCCACGATCGCAGCGACCTCCGCAGGAATGTTATCGTCGAGGAAGTCGGCTGCCTCCATGTAGAACAACTGCTGGTACCGATGGCCGCGGCGTCCTTGACATAGGCGATGGAAAGCACGAGGCTGTGCCAGCAGCGCGGGCACCGGTGGAGGCAGCCGACACAGAGCCGGGCCCTTGATAGGATTAGCACGACTAGAAAACTAGTCTTCTGACCAGCCCAAGAAAATTTTCTGGGGGGGAAGAATTCGACCCACCCTTAGCTGTCCCATTAGATTTTAGTATATATTTTTCTCAAACACGAGGTTTTAGTATATATAACTAGTATGCTGTGAAGAGGATGGGAGGAGTAGCTCCAGTCGCAGCCGCCGTTTTTTCCCCTACACGCCATTTTTTTCTCCCGCTTTCTCCTGCCTATGCCCGCTTCTCCCTGTTAGCGTCTGAACCTCCCGCTGGTGCCCGTATCTCCTCCGCTGGCACCTAGTCCTCCATCCTCCGCCTGCCTCTCCCCTTCTGGCGCTTCCGCCTCTTTCCCGCCGGTGCCTCCTGCCTTCGTCCGTCTCCGCCTGGTCCCGTACCGGTGCCTGTAGCCTAGACCTGGAGTCAAGCACCTGTCCTCCTGAAGCTGCAGCATACCTTGATCGATGATCGGTGGTCTTAGGACTAGCCTGCCTTCGTCCGTCTCCACCTGGTCCCGTACCGGTGCCTGTAGCCTAGACCTAGAGTCAAGCACCTGTCCTCCTGAAGCTGCAGCATACCTTGATCGATGATTGGTGGTCTTAGGACTAGCCTCGATCATACGATCTAATAACATTTTCCTCCACTTGCTGTAACTACAACTAATGCATGTTAGTCTTGTGTTCAATATGTAAATTTGCTGCATGTTTTTTAAATGTTATGAAAAATTTGAAACATGGGGCATCTAATAAAGGATGGCGAATAAACTAGTAGCATACTGATGGAGCAAATGATGGCAGGAGCAACAAACAGACCCCAGGAACTGGATGAAGCAGCGCGCAGGCGACTCACAAAACGTTTATACATCCCTCTTCCTTCATCAGGTAATACTATTTCTGTTCTTTTATACTTATCATTGCAGAAACCTTAGTGCACCGTGGTTGTGAAGAAGCACGGGCTTGGATAATTCGCAATCTATTGGAGAAAGATGGTCTTTTCATGCTCTCGGAAGAAGAAACAAGTGCCATCTGTAAATTAACTGAAGGTATAACCATCCAAGTTTCTTAATGTTGCTATTATCTTATCAGCTTGAGGTGATCATACTGAATTTAGCTGCTTTAAATAATGCTTACTATTTCCAGGCTACTCAGGATCTGACATGAAAAACTTAGTGAAAGATGCCTCAATGGGACCACTAAGAGAGGCTCTTCAAAGGGGCGTTGAAATCACAAAGCTCAGCACGGAGGATATGCGACCAGTGATGCTGAAGGTACTAGTCCACAAAATCAGCGATGTCTGGTCATCTAATAAAAAGAAAAATAAGTTTTATTTGCTCAAAGGATCACTTCTGATGTCGAATAATACTCCCTCCGTGTCCCAAAAGAATGCAATTCTAAAACAGTACTATTTTTTAGTATATCAAGTTTGACCGATTATAGATATTTATAATATTAAATAAATACCATTAGATTAATTACAAAATCTATTTCCATAATAAATTGATTTGGAGTCATAAATATGAATATTATTTACTAGAAAACTTGGTCAAACGTGAAACACTTTAACTAACACGTAACCCATAGTTGTATCCTTTTAGAGACAGGGGTAGTATAACTCACTTATTTTTTATGAAGTTTATTATGCTTATTGAAATGTGCAGGATTTCGAGAATGCCATGCAGGAGGTAAGACCTTCTGTTTCCTCGAACGAGCTGGGGACTTATGAGGAATGGAACATGCAATTTGGGAGCCTATCGATCTAGTTTCTGGGGAGGCATAGAAAAAAAGGAGTTCAATGATTTTAGTCGGAATATGGCATCCATAACACCTCGCTGAACTGTAGAAGTTCTACAGTAGAACACCAATGTTTTGAAGCATCAAAATTTGAACAGTCTATTTGGAGTACTGAGTAATCTCCTGGAGCCTACCATATCAAATCGATTCAAATGTCTTTGAATCTTCTCTTTTCTGGAAATTTGTTTGCCTTGGTTTTGCTTGACATATGACTTTGGGTGCGTTGGGCTTTTGGGAGCTACTTCTGCTTTCAAAAACTCAAAAACCAACTAAAGGGGTGGAAACTGGAAGCTCTCTTTTTAGAGCAGCTACTTTTGGGTAGTATAGTTTTGAAAGCATCTTGCATATGTTTTTGGCTTTTGGCTTTCTGCTTTTTGAAATGGTGAAAATAGAGGTAGGAGGTAAGTTTTATACTTGTTTGAATCAAACATTTTACAGTTTTTCACAGTTGGTTCTTTCACATCCCATAGCGCACAACAGTTTTTCAGAAGCCACAGCTCAACACACCCTTTGTAGCATGGAAGTCAAATACTCTTCATTCTAAATTATAATGTTTTGGTTTTTTTGCATATATAGTTTTTGTTATGCAATTGGATATATACGATGTCTAGATTCATAACAAACTTAATGTATCTAGAATTGCCAAAAACACCTTATAATTTGATATAATTTGAAAGAGAGGGAGTAGTTAAAAGCTATGTTCTACTAACAGGCAGGTTACTTGCTTGTGACTTATTTTTTCCCCTTTCGGGACGATACACCTGAGAGCTGTATATTCTTAAGAAAAAAGGTAAGTTTTAAGAAACAATATTACATGACTAATTCATCACTCCTACCGGACCAGTTGAGATACATCAGAGGTTTACTATATTGTACCCGAAGTGTAAAATGACCCATGATACATCAGAGGTTTACTTACTGAACCAGTAAGCAAGTAGGTTTTCGGTGTCTCGCTTATGGGCCTGTTAGATATAAAGGGCTGATTTAGCCAGCTAAAAGTTAGTTAAAATGGACAATGGACTCCACCAGCTCCAAGGGCGAAGGGCTTCAGGCCTGCTTGTTGGCCCCTCTAGGAGGAGGCTCCTTGTAGACCAAGGAAGCCTCGAGAAGGCTCACCCGAGGGAGGCCACGTCGTAGCTAGAAGCCCCTGACAATAAGTGTTAGAACGGAGGCAGCAGCGTTAGGGGGCGGTTGTGGCATTGTTGGCTCCCCCACACGACAAGGGAACGACCAGTAACGCTGTGGCAGAGGACACATGCACCCGGTGTATAGACCTAGACCATAGACTAGAGCAGAACCGACATGTACACCTAGCCCTCCTCAGAATATAAAGGGAGGCATAACTCCCTTTAGAAGGGATCGACCCAAATTCTAGGAGGAAGGATCGGACCCAACTCAGTGAGGAGGGGGAGAATCGATTCGGCCCTACTCCAAGGGACCGAGGAAGAACACCGACAAACTCTAGGGTAGCACTGAGCGATCCCTTACCAATCTCTATTGATTTCCACCATTGTAACCCTCAATTGGGCACTCCTAACACGAAGATCACTGTACTGTTGGACAAAGGGCTCAGAAGCCCGAACCAGGATAAATCGAGTTGTGTCCCTTTCGTGTTTTGAGTGTCCGAGCCATTGGAGAGCCACACATCGATCTCCGACAAACAATTCTGATGCTCACTTGTCACATTCGGTTTTAGAAAACAAAATTGAATGCACATCACATGTATGCCATGATCTGTTTATTCATATATGCGACAACAATATAGTGATACAAAGCAGTGTTTATTACAAAAGCATACATTATTACAAAAATGACTAGAGGGTCTAAACACAAAATTATATCAGAGTTCCAGTAGATCAGGGTCTCCATCCCCACAGGCAGCCGACTGGGGGTACACCAGCCTAGCATCCACGCCGTTTTTGGGAAAAACACCATCTCCTAGAAACTCCATCTTCTAGTCTGAACAACTGGGTAGGATAGCAAGGGGGACAAAGAGAAGGGTGAGTACATCTGGGTAGGGGAGCAAGGGGGACAAAGAGAAGGGTGAGTACATTGAAATGTACTCCACAAGTGTAGGAAAATATGACATGAGGGCCAACACAAGGAAAGGCTTACAAGGTTTGACACAAGCACTTTAGCAACACATCCTAGTTTACCTTAAATCCTTAGCACCTATTTACTAGGTGAAATCTTTCTTCTCCTCAGAGAACCAAACCACACTTGGATTCCATCCGAGCACCACACTTGTATTCCATTCAAGCTCCCAACTGAACCACCCGTTCCCTTACCAAGGGAACCACCCAACCACGAACTAGAGCCATCTAATCAAGAAGAAGTCCAGGTCGCTCCTGACTGTGAGCACGGTTGATATATCACTTTTACACTCTGCAGAGGTTGCACACTTTCACCATGAGTCATGTTTTGCCCATCACGCTTCACACTACCTAGGTGCTTAGCGGGATCACACTACTTTCATCAAGAAGAAGACAACGACGAGGGCAATCTTGTGGTGGTGGCAGAATTCACCGAAACGTCATGGTTTGGCTGGAAAAGCTCGCCGAACCTTCGCTTCAAAATTTCGTTGGCAGACCTTCGGCGATGGATCTGGGACGCTACGGGTGGCGGCTCGTGAAAGCGATTTCAGATCTAGAGAGAGGACGTCTAGGAGAACGCCGGCATGTATTTGTATGCCAGGTTTGGGTCGGTGGAAAATTAGGGTTTAGGGCTAATTTCGGGATTAATTAATTTCGCTAGTTAAAATAATTATGGAAAAACTAGAATTACTTTTCAAGCTATGAAAAATAGCCCGAAGCTTAGAAAAATTACCAGAAAAATCCTAGAGGTAGATTGGAAGATAAGGAACTCAAATAAAGGAGTTTGAGCTTATGAAAAGATTGTTGATCAAGGAAAAATATTAAGGTCAAGGAAATTCAAGAAAAAAGTTGGAATAATTCCCGAAAAAAGAGAGACGTCGCTCTATCATATTTTAAAACCATTTGCACTCATAAACACCAAATGCAACCGACATGAATGCAACACCCTTTTCAAATTAAATTATAAAAGTTTTTTAAAATTCACATTTTTGCACTGTTTAAAATGGTAAAAGCCTAATTAACTCTTGGAAATTTTAGAAAAACTATAAAATCATTATATTTGTTTAGTGTAAATTATTCACAACCCAAAATAGAAATTTTGGGGTGTGACAGACTACCCCCTTAATAGAAATCTCACCCTGAGATTTGATGAAGCTACCGTCATTACAAAGAACCAAATCACTCAAGATCATAATGACAATGCAATCAACCTAACTACAGCACACTAACATTATAGGGTACATAGGGAAGCACACAACTTAGCAACGTCCTATTGTAAAGCGCTCAGGGTGAAATCCTATAAAAGGGCAAGGGTTAGAACGATCTTGAAATCTTTAGTCTTTTGTAGTGTGATGATTCTTCATGTCGACGTAGAATCTTTATCCATACTTCATTGTCACCTCTCGATGTAGAATCACTAGCTCCATTCCATCAGTCTTGGAGATACGAGGGGTTATGTTGAAGAGTTTTATTTTGAAACAAAGCATCAAGGAGAAGGGGAACAAGAGAGTAGACTTTGTTTTTACTAAAATAGTTTTCAAACATGACCATTGCTAACTAGGCTGATGTCCTATCAACACAGCTCTGATACCACCTTGTCGCACCTAGTTTTAGAAAACAAAATTGAATGCACATCACATGTATGCCAAGATCTGTTTTATTCATACATGCGGCGACAATATAGTGATACAAAGAAGTGTTTTTTTACAGAAGCGTACATTATTACAAAAATGACCAGAGGGTCTAAACACAAAATTACATCAAAGTTCCAGCAGAGCAGAGTCTCCATCCCCACAAGTAGCCGACCAGGGGTATACTAGCCTAGCATCCACACCGTCTTTAGGAAAACACCATCTCCTAGAAACTCCATCTTCTAGTTTGAACAGCTGGGGGTAGCGAGGGGGACAAATAGAAGGGTGAGTACATCGAAATGTACTCCACAAGTGTAGGAAAATATGACCTGAGGGCCAACACAAGGAAAGGCTTACAAGGTTTGACAAAGCACTTAAGCGACACATCCTAGTTTACCTTAAATCCTTAGCACCTATTTACTAGGTGAAATCTTTCTTCTCCTCAGAGAACCAAACCACACTTGGATTCCATCCGAGCACCACACTTGTATTCCATTCAAGCTCCCAACTGAACCACCCGTTCCCTTACCAAGGGAACCACCCAACCACGAACTAGAGCCATCTAATCAAGAAGAAGTCCAGGTCGCTCCTGACTGTGAGCACGGTTGATATATCACTTTTACACTCTGCAGAGGTTGCACACTTTCACCATGAGTCATGTTTTGCCCATCACGCTTCACACTACCTAGGTGCTTAGCGGGATCACACTACTTTCATCAAGAAGAAGACAACGACGAGGGCAATCTTGTGGTGGTGGCAGAATTCACCGAAACGTCATGGTTTGGCTGGAAAAGCTCGCCGAACCTTCGCTTCAAAATTTCGTTGGCAGACCTTCGGCGATGGATGTGGGACGCTACGGGTGGCGGCTCGTGAAAGCGATTTCAGATCTAGAGAGAGGACGTCTAGGAGAACGCCGGCATGTATTTGTATGCCAGGTTTGGGTCGGTGGAAAATTAGGGTTTAGGGCTAATTTCGGGATTAATTAATTTCGCTAGTTAAAATAATTATGGAAAAACTAGAATTACTTTTCAAGCTATGAAAAATAGCCCGAAGCTTAGAAAAATTACCAGAAAAATCCTAGAGGTAGATTGGAAGATAAGGAACTCAAATAAAGGAGTTTGAGCTTATGAAAAGATTGTTGATCAAGGAAAAATATTAAGGTCAAGGAAATTCAAGGAAAAAGTTGGAATAATTCCCGAAAAAAGAGAGACGTCGCTCTATCATATTTTAAAACCATTTGCACTC